TCGCGCCTGGTTGCTAGTACCGCCGCTTCTGTCGGAAAATTTGGGCGGATTTCCGCGATTCGGCCTGCCGGGATGAAGCGGGCGGCAGCGGTCACGACGACCCTGCGGAATGAACGATCACCAGCGGTGACGTCAGTTGGAGTGGGAAGAGCACTAAAGGCGTTCTCGGTAAATTCCGTGAATCCGGGCCAGTTAGCTTTTTTAAAGTTAACGAATGTCCGGTGGTCCGCGGAAACAAAGTCGGGAGGCCTGTCAATCGAGATATGTATGGGCAAGTGGTCCGATGCTAACGTCAGTATAGGTATCCAGACTATACTGTTTATCAGACCAGCACTCGCAATTGTTATGTCTGGCGAGCTTTGGCAATTACCCATAACTCTGGTGGGGGCGTTGTCGTTCATTGTGCAGAATGTCGAATCATATATCTGTTCTACCAGTTCCATTCCTCTACGGTCAACTGACAGGCTAGAATGCCAAAGATCGTGATGCGCGTTAAAGTCGCCCAAAAAAAAAACGGGTTTCGCCCCTGAGCAGCGCACCTATGTCAGGGGTGTATCCAGCTGGGCAACTTGTAACTGGAAGAATGCATATATTAAATATCTCGAGCTCGACATCACCTGACCGGATAGCTATGCCCTGACATTCTAGGGTAGTATCCTTCCGGTCGATGTCACCATCGATGAGACGATACTGCACGGTGTTGTGCAGGATGGATCGCAGCAATTGACAGGTGCTCCCGGCTCATATAGTCGACTATCTCGTCAATCTTTCCCTGGAGTCCGTTGCAGTTGAATTGTAGAAGTCGGGTCTGTCTCGGGGGAACGTTCGTGATTCGGGGGGTGAGGGAGTGATGCGTGGATGGTGTGTGATGCAGCGGTACTACCCGCGAGAGTTGGTTCCGCACATTGGTGTTGATTGGCGGAGGGTTTGTAGAGACATGCGGGGGCAAACTCCTACAGCATGGGGCAACGTACGCATCGCTCCACTCAGGGGTGGTGCGCAGGCCAGAGCACGTCCGAAAGTGACACCAGCCAGAGCAGAAGTTGCATCTGACTGAGGTCACGTTCCGACGCACTATGGTCTGACACACGGAACAGACAGTGCGGGGGACTAGGAGCTGCTGGGTAGCCCTCGCACGGAAGGAGTATGAGGAGCTGGTTGTGGGTGGGGATGGGGGTGGAGGTGGGGGGAATCATGCAGCGGGGAGCTCCGTAAGACCGTGGAGGTCTGCAGATTACCCAGAGTGGGTATGTGTGCTGAAGGCACTGCCGTGGAGGCTGAGGGGGCGGTTGGACGCTGGCAGCATGGGGCCACATAACTTGTGGTCCATTCCCTGTGGGTCTTAAGGCCTGAGCAGGTCTTAATATGACTCCAACCATTGCACTGGGTGCATCTAACTGAGGTGGATGAGTGGAGGAGTCTTCTTTGACACACGCAGCAGAAGTAATCCGTCGGGCCAGGGTTGGTTTCTACACCAGCCCTGATCAGAAGGATTTGGAGCAACCCAGCCGCGAGGTGTTGCTCCGTTGACGTACTTAGACTAAGGTTACCTGTAGACCTAAACGAGGTTAGGTCGCCGAAAGGGTGACAGCCCTTGGCCAGATAAAATCCGGGTCAACTCCGGTGCGTAGAACCGGCTGTCGTGAGAGTTGAAACATACTGTGCATTGTATAGCTGAAGGCGAAGCAGCTCACACGATAGCCGGTCTACACATCGGAGTTGACGGCTAATTACAAACGAAGCTTAATAAATGATCTTTTTGTCAATTAAAGCACGCACATTCATAATTTAAATTCATATTGTAAGCAATTTACTCAAAATCCTTTTAATTTTTTTTTTCATAAAAACCAATTAAATCCTTGAATTGAGGGCGACACCTGATTAGAAACGAAAATATTTTATCAGAAAATATAACGATATTAAAGCTGTCACGTATGCCATTTTTTCTTAGTTAAATAACAAATATTCAATTCATACAAACAACCAGGCCTCGTAGTTTACATAATAAAATTAATATTTGGCATGGCCGCAAAAAAAAATTATAATATTGTTGCGAAAATTCGAGGCGAATGTCAGATGAAAGAGAGAAGCCGATAACTAGTACATTCTAGAAACGATAAAACAAGAACCTTCGATAGCGAACAACTCGATGCTTCTACGCTTTCGTCTGCGAGCAGCCGACTGCTATATAAGGGCGACACTCAGCTGCCAAGTGAGTNAACGATAAAACAAGAACCTTCGATAGCGAACAACTCGATGCTTCTACGCTTTCGTCTGCGAGCAGCCGACTGCTATATAAGGGCGACACTCAGCTGCCAAGTGAAATTAGTTTCAAAGTGAACTTGTGGCGTTAACATCAGTAAAGTCGTAAAGTAAACACGTTGCAGATTACATTTAAGTAGAGTAAATGGTGAAAGTTTATGCAAGTGATTGTAAATAGTAAAGTGCAGTGTAATTGAATTGTGAATTACGGAGTAAATAAAGGACATTAGATAAATTCTTTATAACGAAAGAAACTGCAAATTGAGTTGGCGAGTTTTTATTTAACAATCCAGAGATCGTACCCGAAGGATTCAGAAAATCATCGAGGTTTATTAAGCGAAATCGTAACAATATATTTACTTTTAGTTAGTATTTGGTTGCACAACCCTTTGCTTCATCACTGTTGTTGTTATTGTTGTAACCACAAAAATATTCTCCAAAGTACTTTTTAGGGGAATGTTCGGGAAGTGACAGTCCATAGCCGGAAAAAAAATCGGGTCGTTCCGGTCGACTTTCTTAACGTCACCCTAGAGGTTTAAAGTCTGGACTGGATGATGGCTATTCTAAAACACTGATGCAATTTTGTGTCAAACAATCTTTTTGCTGTGCGATTTGGATCAAGGCAACATAGCATTTTCTAGTATACTGACGTATTTCTCCTTATTTAAAATTCCATATATCTTATGGAATGGACAACCACCATTAAGGGGCACAGCTAGAGCAATATTTCAAAAAAATCCATCTTTTTTATATCTCGGTAGATATCTAAAATGGTGTTTTGTTATAGCAATTTAAAGAGCAGCTGCTCAGCAGCTAGATGGTCTCATTACAGTCACAGTGAAAACGATCACGTTATCTTTAAATGCGTTTTTCTCGAAACAGCATTTTCCGAATTCGCTGCAGTTATTACTCAAAAACAAAAACGACCATAATTTTGGGTAAAATTTGAAAATTTTTTTAAAACGCTAAAATATTGTCAATTTTTGATTTTTTTTATCGTAGGTCATTGTACGGACAATATTATCTTTTCGAGAAATTTTTTTTTAGATTTCATCCACGGAGAAGGCCGGAATCACTGCAGCAGTGAAAGACCTTTTTCGCGAAGTTGGAGATCGACTATAACTTAAAAAATATTTAATTTTTTTCCTTAAAAATTTCACTGTATATTCTTGAAGCATGTATAAATATGTTCTTAAAATTTTTAAATAATTGATAAAGTATTTTTTTTTAATGAAAGTTCCCAAGTTCATCTTTTTTTAGGCCATTACACTATGATTGATCCTCGACTATGCTTCACTACGCGTGAAACACAACGACGATTAAATTTTTGGTTAATGCGCCGTCAAACATACCTCCGAGCATCAAGACCAATGCGTTTATTTTTCTTTTCAAAGTTCCAAACGACGTACTTCGACTGGTTTAGGAGCAAACACCAATGAGAATGGCTAAAGTATACGCGTCGTTTTTTTTTTTATTTTTATTCTTGCGTGCTGCTGCTCATCCATGAAGTCCAGATTCCTCCATTACTCCTGCTGAAGTTATCCGGAGCTTTTTTTTCGTACGACATTTGCAACAGTTCTAAAATTCTGGATATGCTTTATATTATTAAAAACATTTGACTTGCTCCGCAATTACACTGTATAACTTTCCAGCTTTACCAAGGTCAAAAATAGAGCTGCGTAATGCTCTACCAAGGTCAAAAATAGAGCTGCGTAATGCTTTTTTTTTTTATAAAAATTCATATTGATTTTAAATAATAAGTTATAGATAAATACTTACCAAAAATTAGTAATATTATCACTAAAACAACACAACGTTATGAATATGCTACTATCTAACAACCGTTTATAATAACTGTCGCAGTTTAATTACTTTACACCAAGTAAGTCATGATAGAAATAGGAAATAATAGCACTTGAAATGAATAACTACAAATCTGGGGACATTGAGTAGCCAATAGAGTAACCAATAAGATGCAAGTGTCGCTTTTAAGAAAATACAAAGGTAAATTTGCAAATTTTACTATTATGCTTTACAAGCGCTTAAAAGAAGAGAGCGTTTCTAATTAGTTGTCAACGGCTGTAACTATGTTTAAGTCAACAGCTGATTATAGCCTAAGTGTGCGGGCAAAGCAGCACTTTGCCGCAGGGCCTCATCAAATCCTTTTTGTTGATGTTGTTTTAGCGGTTCACTAGCCCTGTTTATTGACAGGTTGGTTAATTCAAGTCACCGAGGTCATGACTATCTTGCGCGCACCCTACATGACAGACTGGTCCGCTATTTTCATTCACGATTGGAATTTTCACATCCAGTTCCAACCAGTATTCCTTCGTCCAGTTGGTGCAAAGCATAGCCGAGTGTTTTGTCGATTAGATTTAAAGCTATCGTGCAGTGAAGCGTAACAGGTCGGTGAGATAGCCGCTCACTTTCGAACAAATAACATCAATGTCCTGGCAATCTTCGGCAAATGAGGGCAAGGGAACTTTTTCTGAGGTAAGAAGGGAGCTTCGAAATATAGAAATTAAACAATAGAGGGAGGAGTACACTATCCTGCGGCCCCCTTTTTTAATCATCTTTAGTTTTGACTAACTTCGTTTCTCGGATCGCAGCAATAGCGTTCCCGGCTCATATAGTCGACTGTTTCATCGACCTTTTCCTTGAGTCCGTTGCAGTTGAATTGTAACTGGCGTGTCGTGGGTGATGAGTGGGTGTAGTGTGTTATTGCTTTGATACCCGCTGTATTCGTGGAAGACGTTATATATTGGATCCTTGCGAAACCCCAAGGAGTTGTGTAGCCTTAAACAAATACATCAAATATTTTTGGATTTCAGAATTTGAAAACAAGATAAGAATCTCGAGATAGAAGCGTCATCTGACGGGAGATTCAGGAAACGAGTTTATTCGAAAATTTGAACGACAGGGAGAGTGGGCATGCAAAAAGCGGTTAGTGCCATGCGGTCACTCACTGCCTAGTAAAAACTGTAGGTCCCTACATTTGTTGGAAAAAACATCAAGACGCAAAAATACACAAAGAGCCAATTATATATCCCGATACTAATTGAGCCCTTTCGGTGACTTAACTCCGTTAATGCCCACAGTTAAGAATAAAAAATTGCAGAATACAGAGCGTAGGGAAGGAAAACTGCATTTTTTTGGGATCAATACTTACTCAATACTTTAAGAAGATACTATTTATTTTACAGAAAATCTATTTGTTCTCGCTAAAAAAAGGAACCAACAACGGTTTTGCCTTGCGCGAAACACTTTTGCAAATTTGGCGGCCTTCGCCATGCTTAAAAAATAACCCTGGACCGAAGAAACACTGGCTGGCTTCGCTGTTCAAAACCGTATTTGCAATAAGACTAGTATTTAGTACAGTATGAGTAAGTTGTTGTTGTTGTAGCGGTTCGCTAACCCCAGCTTAGGCAGCTCGAGCTCGTTGTATGCTATAGGTGCTGGGTTTTCTCCGAACACATCATTCGCTGGAAGGGAGTCCTTGAAGGTGTTGACTGACTCCTGGTGAATGGCGTTCAGTGCTTGCCTGTACGCCATCCTCTCCAGCAGTTGATGCACGTGTTGCTAAACTGTGTTCTTAAGATCTAGTACTCCCTTTCTGCGGTGGCATACCAATAAGAACTGCTTACACAGCATAGCATAGATGCTTCGCTGCACAAGTGATGCTCCGGCGACACCAGGTTTCCTGTCGCGGTCCTGAGGGCGTTGTTGTGGATAGATTGTAGCTTCTTCATCTACGTCTCGTTCATCCCCGGGGCCCTAATCGGTGCAGCATATGTTAAGACCGGTCGGCCAATTGCTCTATAAGTTACCAGCAAAGTTTCATTGTCTGTACCCACCTTTCGGAGGGTGGCGCTTGGATGCTGATACCGCCGCTTCTGTCGGATATCCGCCATTCGACCTGCCGGGAAGGAGCGAGCGGCAGCGGTCACGACGACCCTGCGGAATATACGTTCACCGGTAGTGACGTCTGATGGAATGGGAAGAGCACTAAAGGCGTTCTCAATGAATTCCGTGAATCCGGTCCAGTTAGCTTCCTTGAAGTTAACAAATTTCCGATGGTCCACGGAAGCAAAATCGGGAGACCTGTCAATCGAGATAGTATGAGTGTGCTTAATGTTTGTTGACAGCACATTTAAAGCAAAATCTTTCGCGCTATTGTAAAGTGGCCATATATCAAATTAAATGTATGTATATGTTCTTTTGGATTAAGATTGTTTTATGTGTGACAAGCGCACAAAATTTTAAGGAAAACAAATTTTAAAAAAAAAAAAAGTAATTTTTTTAACAGAATCTTTTACAATCTTATCTTTAGAAAGTTGAAAGCTACGTGACAGTTTTGTGAGATATAGCTTATTATAATTTTCGAAAACTCTCCTTCGCGCCCGAAATCAGGACCGTACACGACCAATATTTCACTTTGTTATACCTTAGCGGTCTGTACTCTGCAATTATGCATTTTTTTTTATTATTTTCAATATCCTGATATTATAAAGAGGGCATAGAGACCCAACTCAAAAACATTTTAACTGCGAATAGAACATTAATTTGTGTCTAAATATTTAACAAAAAATGTTCACAAAAATGTTAGGTAACATTGTCTGAGTGTTATTATATCCGGCACTTCTATATGCAAATATCCCGAATATCGTGAAAAATAGCCATTTGGTGTTGCATAGTAAAAAAAAATTTGAAATTTCAAAATTAAAGTGTTATTTTTTATATTTCCAAAAGAGGAAAATATATTTTTCTTCAGAATTATTTCTTTTTTTTGTAAATTTATATTCAATACCCAGAAAGCTAACTTAACTAAATAATAATTTCATTTATCATAACTTGACAGACTTGAAAGCAATACTTTCAATATACATCTGATGTTTCTGTCAAAAATAATTTAAAACAACCATTGTGTTATATATTCTACATGGGTGATATATTAGCACGATTGACTTGCGAATATAATAGTAAAGAGTCAACAAAGCTATTCTTCCCCCTAGTTACTGTTGCGTTTAGTTGCACATAATACACGTGGCAAGCAAGCAACTAATTAAAATCCAATAGAACATACTTTTTAATATTTGACTTTTCTATCAATACATATTATTTTTATATAAATAATATAAAGTTGTATACCTTTATTATTGTTATACGAATACATCACCATATATGTAGATATATTTAAATTTTCAAATTTTTTTTTTTGCACTATTTTAATTTTTTTAATACCTTATAACCATTTATTCATTTGAATAATGCAGTCAATAAGTTTCCAATTATAAAAAGCAAACATTTACTCTTCATTTCCTAAGGTACATTTTTTGCTTGATGTTTATAACGATTACACTTTTGAAAACTCATATACAAACTAAAGTCTCTTAATAAAAGAAAGTAAATAGAAATCCCGATTCCGCAAACTCACACGGAACGTTTACATCAGCTATACCCGAAGTTTCACTTCCATGAAAATTTCTTGGAAAATATTTAATAATAACCAAAGCGATGCCTTAAATTGCAATGTATAATTCTTTGTTCTGTTATTCACCAATTCACCATTTTCAACACCAACCCACGTAACCGACAACACACCTTCATCTTACTTCAATAATAAAAAATTGTAAAAAATAAGCTATGGCTTGCATCTGAACCAAATATAAATCATTCAACACTTTTGCTACGTTGGTACGACAAAAAATCACATTTCAGACATTCACGTTCTTAGGTGAATTATTTAGTGTATGCTTAGACGCAGCAACTTTGGTTCCATAATTGCACAAACTTCTTTTCATTTAGTATTCTTTACCTTCACAAAACGCAAATTAACTAATTATCACGTCCTTATATAATTTTCAAAATTAAGTAATATTAGCGTTGTAAGGAATTTAATATCAATACAACAGATATGCTAATGTTCACTTAAGTTTAATATCTGTTCTATTTATATATGTGATATAATTTCACTGCAATGGTCCATAAAATTATATATTTGAACACTTTTACGTGTTATATGTATCTTTATTTTTATTACACTGAGTGCATTTATTAAAAAAAAAGGATGCTGCGCATATGATTTGTCGTGGCTTGCCCTTTTATAACTATATTAATGCCGGCACAGATGCGAAGCTTGTTTCAGCGACAATAAAGGTTATTCCTTCTGGCCGTATTGGATACAAGTGACATATACGTACAAAAAGCATTAAATATAATGGGTTGTTGGTAAATACGACATACTGACCTTAGAACAATTATCCCAAAAAAAAAAGTCGCGCCACTGAGAGAAGTAAGAGCGTATAGGTACAAAAAAAATCTCACTTTCCTTGCATTAAAATTTCAAAAATGCGTTGGATATGAAAATATCTTAAGTCCAAATTCGAAGCAGTACTTTTGATCTCTTCTTGCGTCCACGTCACCCAATCTGGGAACAACCCTTGAGAGGGAGCTTCACGCAGAGTTCGCTAAAGTCTATTCGCTGTATTTGTTTAAGAGAGGATCGGCTGCAAACGGGTGTCGGTATTCAAACAAATGGTTAGGTATATAAATATGCAAATGTATGTACAGTACACCACTAAAAATGATGGAAAAAATACTAATTCGTCAAATTGGTGTGCACCTCTGCGACTTGCGTCATACCGGTTTCCTGGTGACAGATCAACCCCTAATCAGCGGCCTCAATAAGGAAATTCGGCGTAATAGGAATCAACATAAGCGGAAAAGTGTCAGGGGAACTTAAGGTCCTGTT